AACTGGCATAAAGTTTTCAAATCTAACTGCCAGTGATGAAGTTGCAATTCTTTAATTTTTGGTGGCATTGGTGATCACTGAAGTTTTAACTTTAGCTGGAGCCCTGCTGAATAAAACACGACATTCAATGAGGAAAATGGGTTGATTTTATCCAATATAATTTGAAGAGCTTGAAACCAGAAAGGAGTCAGACCTGAATACATGTTTGCTAAAAAAATGTTAAAAAAAAAAGCAATATCTAAATAGCTATTTGACTATTTTGTCATGCATCAATGAATTATTCACAGTAACACCAGGAAAGTTAATTAAGCAAAAGTAATGAATGTTCAGGTTGATTTCATGTTCACTGTTAATGAGTCTATATATAAATATGAAAAACATATAAAACAGTATCAAGGGACTAAATAGGAAATACAGCCATGCTGTGGAGCTCTGGTTTAGACTATAAATTGTTCTTCAAGCCAAGGGTGAACACCTGCTCAGGGCATAGAGTTAGATGCTAATTACTGCCATTAGCATTCAAGAGGAAGGAGCATGAATGATCACTGATATTCCAGAAGTAGAGCCTCCGATCTGAACACAAAATCTGAGCACAAACAAGTCTGATATTTAGACATTGTGAGCCTGTGTGCCTGAGTGAGAAAATTATTGAGATGTCACCGGCGTTTCTTCTGAAACTCTACGAGCAAAGACAGGTCAGTTACCATGTCACAGCGCTGTAATGGGATCGTGGGATCATTGGGGTGCAAGACTTTTTCATTGGCGGCAACCAAGCTTTATGTTCAAAACACTGAGTGCGCAAAAGCCACGCGCTTCTCACTCTTGAAAGTAAAGCTTCCAAAAGAGGGTTTCACAGTAATGCCATTGAAGGACCATTTTTGGTTCCTCGAACCTTTCACTCAAAGTTCTTAAAAGAACCGTTTTTCTTAGTGTGTGAAACATTTTGACAAAATGAACCATTTTTAACTATAAATAACATTTAATGTGTAATGGAAAGTTTCCATGGATGCTAAAGATTCTTCATGATACCAATAAAAAAGCTTTATTTTCAAGAATGTAAAAAATTAATCAGTTTTTTGGCTATTTAAAATTTATGCTATAACAAGCTCCATATTAAGATGGGGTAGGACTAAAAAGGCACAAAATCTCATCTCAGTACATTTGATGTACTTAATTTCGTATCTTAATTTTGTTATTTCATTTGAATATGAACATTTCTGAGATTTAGTCAGTCAAAACAGTTTTGAAGTTAACTATGAAGTTGACTATCAAAAGGGATTCGTGGACAAGTTATTTTTTTTTGGTGAAGGAAAACCGTGTAAAGGCTAAATTACATTTGGGGTAAGATGAAGATTTAATTGAATACATATTGTAATTCAATGGGGTTATTATTTAAAGGGGTCCTTCAAAATCAAGACTTTGTAAAAGAGCATAATAGGACCCCTTTAATATTTCCATGAGATATGCACATTTTAGACATTTTCACTATTCTTTAAAACCTATAGGTTAATTAAGTGAAATCCTTTACATTTAATTCAGTGTTGCTGTTATTTTAACCTTCAATTAAAATATGGACAATTAAATATTTATATATTCTTGTGCCTGTATATGTCACAGAAAAAATATACCTTCCAGATGAATCTGTTTTACTGGGATTCTGCTTTGTCTGTCAATGGTTATTTAATTATTTATCCAAATTGTCCAACTTCTCTTTTAAACAGAATAGCTTATTTATTTATTGATTGATTTATGTATTTATTTATTTATGTACATTAAATGACACTAAGAATACATAAGACTATATAAAAATGATATCAAAAGCTACTTCCCAGTGGTGCAAATGATGTTGAAAAGACATCAAATTGACATAAAAAAAAAACAGGTCAAATATGCAAATCAAACTGATGTCAAAAAATATGATGTTGATTTGAGGTGAACTAAATGTCAAACATTTTAGACTACATTAAACCAATTTCAGTGTGGGATTAACTTCCTATTTTCACCCATTTAAAACTAGAAGTAATTGCAGTCCAAACTTGATCAGCATCTTGATCAAGTATTGACTAATAATAGTTGACGTCAAATTGATACCAAGGTGCCTTCTGGGTTATACATTCTGTAACAGTTTACCCAGAGGTTTACCTTTTTGAATAATTTTACATTTTGGGCTATTATAACTAAATATGTTTCCCTTAATAACACATTTGCTGATGCATCATTGCCCTGCACATGCTAAACTTGTAGCTAAATATGTTACAAATTCAAATAAAATGCACATTGTTCTTAAGTTCCTCCATCTCACCCTGCTTTAGTTAGCAAACAAGCCCATCTGTACACTGCGCTAATCAGTCATTTCTACTTCACTCGAGTGAAACAATGTCCACATCTTTGGATGATACTCAGAAGAGAATCTCTCAAGATTGCTGTCCCATGTCATAGATGACCCTGTAACATTGCCATTTTGTCTCAAGTACACTCCATCATTGATTTACTGTAGGTTATTCCGGTCTGGAAGTGTGACAAGAATCGATTTTACTTTGGTTGAGGAGACTATGTGAACTGTCAATAACCACAGCTAACTAATCACTTTGCACCCCCACTGTTGGCTAAACAAATTGACTGGACTTGATCAGCTTAAACGACACAAACTAGTGTTTTATTGCATTCACCTTCCCGACAAACAATTATGAGTCTTAGCGTCAGGAAGAGGACATCGATTTACAGCCGGAAACGGCACTCCAATGGAGCAGTGAGTCCGGCGTGTGCGTTACACATAATTACAGCTTCTATAAGGAAGGCATCAAAACACATCCAAATCTAATATTTGCATAATATCTTCTATGTTGCCTGGTTGATTTTTGAAGCCAGCATGGATATCCTAACATGTTGGCCAGTTGGTTAAAGAAGAAAAATGCAGTGTGATGGAGCATTTCGTTTATAAAAGTCTGATTTCTACAGAGAAATAAGGACTGTAGTCATCTAAAGCTCACTTGAATTTGTTCTAGATAGCGTTTACGTGCCTTGAAAGCTGATCTGAAAACGTTTTCTAAGGCTCCTTCACTGAGAAACGCTGTCAAGTAAGACACTTTGCAAACTATGTGGTTGTAAAGCATAGGTGCAAAACGCATTGCTTTTCATTGTGTGATTTGACACACTGCAAAGTATACATGTTAGTGTCACACCACATATTCATACTCGCTGCATGATCTGACTCATTGCAAAGCATACTTTTCAAGGAGCAACACGTATATTGCTACTTCATCATTGCATGGTCTGACATCGCAAGCATGCATACTGTTTTGCCCTAATCACTGAATGATCAGACTTTTATATGCAAAACACAGCATTTGCAATTAGACTAGACAAAAAAACCTATGTTTTACATGCAAAAAGACATATTCCTGATCTGACTCATATATGCTCTGATGGATTACTGTAGCTCTGATATTACATGCAAAAACGCTTATTCCTATTCATTGCACGATCTGGCTGACTGCAAACTTCTGAAAAGTTTTCAAACTGAGGTCTTTTCCAAATAAAGAAAGTTGTGTATTCGTATGGATTACTTGTGGATTATTGGGATGTTTTTATCAGCTGTTTGGACTCTCATTCTGACGGCACCCATTCACTGCAGAGCATCCATTGCTGAGCAAGTGATGTAATGCTATATTTCTCCAAAACACATAAATGATGGATCCATTGATCTTGTTTACGCACATTCTGACCCCTCCGTCTGCATGTCACCTCAGAAAGACGCGTCACACCAGGTGACATCTTTCCAATCTTGTGCCGTCCAGTTTTGGCGAGCCAGTGTCCAGGCTGGCTTCAGTTTGCAGCTGTAACCTGACAGGAGCAGAAGCCAGTGTGGTTTGACAAACATCACAACGCATGAATATTTCAGCTACTGTCGTCATCCTGTCAGCTTCAACCATTCTGAACTCTCATTAAAAAAGCAATTTAGACCACATAACTGCCACTCAACAGATGGCTGTCACAAGTTTTCCGTAATAATATGGTTGCACGATTGATAATATATATAGAAACTCACAGCAAGAACTGGCAAATATGGTGCAGACCATGAGGATGAAATATTGACCCTCCTTTGTTCAGGGACTTATTCCATTTCTTTTTTTTATGTTCAATACAAATATTTACATATCAAGAAATTTACTGAAATTTAGAAATTTACTGGTATTAAAAGCAGTTGAATGCAAGTGTACATTTATTTATTTTTGCTGAGTTTATATGTAATTATAATTATGTTTATATATTTGTTTTTTTATATAGATGTGGATTTAATTTTGAATTGAAAAAGTGCAATATAATATTTAAATATTACTGAAAACGTTGAAATTGAAAATCCCATAATATTGCTTAACGAGGGTGATGTAATTTTTTGCAATGACTGTTAGTCTTTGAAATGCAAGACGCTACAATTTTTTGACCATGTAACACTTTTTTCAGTTAATTCATTAATAATCATTCTTAAAAGTTATTACTGGAATATCACAGGCACAAATATAACAAACCAGATGGATTGATACTACACCATTTTTATTTATTTTTTTAAGTTACTAAAGTTTTCTTTCAAATAAATGTTCTTTTGAACTTTATATTTATCAAACAATCCTGAAAAATGTCACGGTCTTAAGAAAAATATGAAGCAGCACCACTATTTTCAAAATAATAAATGTTTCTTAAGCAGCAAATCGGCATATTAGAATGATTTCTGAAGCATCATATCACACTGAAGACTGGAGTAATGATGCTGAACTCACAGAAATAAACTACATTTTGCCAAACTGCTATATGGCTTAGTGCACTTATCAAATTACAAAAGGCTGTGATTTATTTAATAATATAAGTCGGTTGTGCTGCATGTTTCAGAATGAAGCACACAGACGTGCTTCTGAGTGTATATATATATATATACACATATATATATACACACACACACACACACAGAGTGAATATAGCAAACTTGAAAATAAAAAGACAGGCATTAAACTGATACAGTACACTCTAGGTTTAATATTCCTATAACTAAAGGTTTTAATTCCCTGACAAACTGCAGGACCAGCAACACTGCTCTACATACAGAAATCAGAAGAGTACAGACTGAAATCTGACGTTCAAAGACAACATTAGGAAAGAAAACACACTATACCATCATTACAAGTACAAAAAGAAAAAAGAAAACTTGAAAAAGAGAATTTATGAATTTGTCAACTTGAATGCATTAAAGTTCTGCATTTCTTATTGTAGGAAGAACTTCCTCCCTCAAAAAGCAGCCTGGTCACACATTAAACATGATACCAATCAACCCTTCACAGATGAACACAGAAAAGAACATCCAAGCCTGAAGGGAGGGGTGGATTACTATCGAGGTCAAACCCAAAGGGAGCATATGACTGTAAGCTCTACAGGGTTATTAGATTGCTAGACTTGAAGAGAAGGGGTAGCGGGTGAACCATGACAGATAAACAGAAATACAGTATCAGACAGAATATTGATCATGTGCACACATACACACTCGTGAAGGAAAAGCTCCGGTTTTCGCACCAGACGAATCTTTGGCTCACTCATCTGGATACAACAGCTCGATGGAGAATCCCTCACTCATGACATTTTCTCAAACACATACACCAGGTATATGCCTACAAAAAGAGAGAGAAGGCAGAGCTGTTGTTCAAGGTTAAGGATGAGACATCATGATCTGCCACTGTATATAAAACACACATTATATAGCCTTTAAAAGCCCATATTTAATGTCATCTCATTTCACAAGGACAACGCATGTTATTACTACCAGGTGCAAACCAGAATTGACTTCAATTTTGAATACAGGAATCTCAAATTTAATGCACGTAATAATTACACTAAACACAACAAACATAAAAATAGAAAACAAACCCAAGTTGAAAACGGCAGCAATTAACGAAACATTTCACCGCAAATAAATACCTAATGCTGTGCACAAACTTGAATTGAATAATGAACATGAACCGTCTTTCAAAAACATTTTAAAAATCCAAACGACCCCAATCTTTTGAACGGTAGGTAGTGGTGTTAACACTACTGTTCAAAAGATTGGGGTCGTTTGGATTTTTTAAAATGTTTTTAAAAGACATCTCTTATGCTCACTGAAGCCGCATTTATTTAAATAAAAAAATGATAGTAAAAACAGTAATATTGAGAAATCTTATTACAATTTAAAATAACTGTTTTCTATTTGAACATACGTTAAAATGTAATTTATTTCTTTGATGCAAAGCTGAATTTGCAGCATCATTACTCCAGTCAGTGTCACATGATCCTTCAGAAATCATTCTTACATGATGATTTGCTGCTCAAATTTCTGATCATCAACGCTGAAACCATTTTGCCGCTTCATACATTTGCAGAAATAAGATTTTTTTTTTCAAGATTCTTTGATGGCTAGTAAGTTTAAAAGAACAGCATTTATTAGAAATTGTTTTTTTTGTAACATTCTAAAGGTCTTTACTGTCACTTTTAATACATCCTTGTTGAATAAAAGCATTAAGTTCTTTCACTTTGGAATAGTAGAGTACACAGAAACAGAGATAGAGAGATAGGACAGTTTAGGAGAGTGTGTGTAATAAAACAATCAAATTTTGAAATATACCATGGTACTGAATGCAATCCACATTCATATTAAAAGAAAGCCATGATACTACCATGGTACGTGAAAAAAACCCCAAAAAAAGCATGTAACTACTTGAACTTTTCTGTTCGAGTAGTTGCAAGTTAAGTGCTTCTAATTTAATCGTTTGTTTTCTCTGATGGCCAGCCCACACGCTGTACTTCAGTATGAGAAAACATCAAGTACTTTATCTTAAGAAGAAAAGTGATTTCACAGCTGGGGTCTTTAATTTCATGGCTTGGGTGCGCGCAGTCCTTTTGAGTGTTACACTCTATGAATATTCATGTCCAACAGCTCAACTGTGACTTTTGATGAAAGTCACTATTATCTTAAAGCTTTTTGTCATGTAAATTCATAAAACCCTCTGATGTATTTTTTTTGTTTTTTTTAAAGTTAAAACAGCTTTCTCTTTCAAAAGACGCCACTGATCACTGATTTCAACAGAAAGAACATCACCACGTACTTGTAGCCTCCCACTCAGACTTGCTCAAGGTTCCCTGTGGAGAAAGAGCAAACTATCAGAACACGGTTAATACAAAGAAAAAATGCCCTCTGCTGAAGAAAACTATATTAGGGCTCACCAGTGGACGTCTGGCAGCTGGACTGGCAGCGACTCTCTTGGCGTGGTCGTACTCCTCCGGACTGTCAGACGCCAGTCGGCCCCTCTCGTCCGGAGGGTATTGCTATGACAACAACACGACACAAAACTGTTTGATTCTGGCAAAGCAAAGATAAGGCGGCATTGGTTCAACAGATATCATTATCTACAGATAACTGAGATAAGGCTAGATAAAACTCGCCACTAGGCAGCTGGGATTGCAAGAGAGTCCACTTTTAAGTCTGTATGATGTTCTGAGGCTGATATTGCTTGGATATGCAGTCGCTAGGGTGCTCTAAATAGTTACTAGGGTGTCTGCACACTGTTACCACAGTGATACTTTTTTAGACTAGTTGCCTGCTCGCATCAAAAGAGCCAACCAGCATGTCTCTATGATGTTGTGAAGCTGAGATGTGCCTTATTCACACTGCTGTACAGTTGCTAGCAGTGGTGTATAAAGTACCTGAAAGCCACAGATATATAGTAAAAGTACAGATATCTTACCAGAAAATGACTTTGGTAGAAGTTGAAGTCACCGTTTAGAATATTACTTCAATAAAAGTCTTAAAGTATGTGATATTTATTGTACTTTTTTTTTTTGTTCTACTGTAGTTTTCTTGTCCTATTGCTTGTAAGTCGTTCCTTATTCTTATTTAATCACTGCCTGTTTACTTGTCTTCAGTGAGCTTGAATTTTTTTTAGGCTAGTATTAGTTTGTGACATTGACACCGGTGAAAAGAACCTTATTTAAAGCAAAGAAAAAAAAAACCTATCGTGATATCATGGTAGTGATATATATTACTCATATTGTGATATAAGATTTTGGTCATAAAATCATCCCTACAGTATATCTTGGAAAAAAGCCACATACGAAAATATCGCAGCCTGCACCTGCTTACTTTATTACCTTATAAACTGAATCGCTTTATGAGCCAAGCCCAAACAACAAGCTCAAAGACACTTACAGTTTATATGAACTGCTAAAAACACATTTTTAGCAGCTGAAACCATCACTCATTTTCTCAAAACCTTAAACACAAATACAAAACTTAACTAAATCCACAGATGTGATAAACTGTAATAAGCGTTGCTTATAATAAGTGTACAAGGCAACCCTTCAACAGCGTGCTCTGCGAAGCAGCTTCCCAAACATGAACAAAAACCTACGGCTCTGTCGACGGGGGTTTCGCTAAAATCTAAACATAACGAGTCTTTGGTCGCGGACTGCGGTAATATTACTTTGGTTAAAAATAGCGGATACAAAACGTGTGAGACGCCAGAATGTGGCTATGGTTATTATGGTGTCAATAATTGTAATAAATAATAATAATAGTAAAAATAAATAATAACAATAAAGATGAAAAAGGAGGAGAAGATCTGGCTCACAGGATGACATCAGACCAGTTTCATCCAGTCTGCTCAAAATCAGGGTCTTTTTCTCTGCAGTTCTGGAGCAGTCGTGCTCACGTTAGCACTGGGAGGCTAATGGGATTACAGCCAATTGTGAGAGGGATTTCTCACAGGGAAAAGAGGCTTGAGGAGCGTTAAATATGCTCAATTTGTGCTAATACGCTGTTATGACAGCTGTGTTTGATTGAGGATCTGTGCTCGTGTGGATACAGTCAGTCACAACGAAGCAACGCACTTACACACTTACAGGACTAATCAAAAGTATTTGATCAAATTATGTAGTTACACAGAAATGCTAGAATTAATTGTCAGTGACATTTTCACTTTATAGTCAATAGTAATTTTTATAGTTATAGTAATTATTATTATAATTATAGTATTTTGTGTTTAAAGTATTTACATTTAGTCATTAAGCAGATGCTTTTATCCAAAGCGACTTACAAATGAAGACAATAGAAGCAATCAAAACCAACAAAAGAGCAATGATACGCAAGTGCTATAACAAGTCTCAGTTAGCTTAACGCAGTACACGTAGCAAGGTTTTTTTTAATTATATAATAAATAAAAAGAAAACGGACAGAACAGAAAAAGAATAGAGCAAGCTAGTGTTAGAGGTCTCTTTGCTTTTATTAATTGTATAATAAATAAAAAGAAAAGAAATAGATAGAATACAAAAAGAATAGAGAAGCTAGTGTTACTTTTGTTTTGTTTTTTAAAGAAGCCGTTTTTCAAGCAGTTAGTAAATGAATAGAGCGCATGTCTAAAAAGGGGAAGGTTTTTTTAAAGAATAGAATTAGAATAGAGAGTGTTAGAGTTAGAGGGTCAAATAAAGATGGAAGAGATGTGTTTTTAGCCGATTCTTGAAGATGGCTAAGGACTACAAGTCTCAGTTAGCTTAACGCAGTACACGTAGCAAGGTTTTTTTTAATTATATAATAAATAAAAAGAAAACGGACAGAACAGAAAAAGAATAGAGCAAGCTAGTGTTAGAAGCGTCTCTTTGCTTTTATTAATTGTATAATAAATAAAAAGAAAAGAAATAGATAGAATACAAAAAGAATAGAGAAGCTAGTGTTACTTTTGTTTTGTTTTTTAAAGAAGCCGTTTTCAAGCAGTTAGTAAATGAATAGAGCGCATGTCTAAAAAGGGGAAGGTTTTTTTTAAAGAATAGAATTAGAATAGAGAGTGTTAGAGTTAGAGGGTCAAATAAAGATGGAAGAGATGCGTTTAATTATATAGTATTGTAATATTTATATATTTTTAAAATACATTTTTATTTTAGTATTTTATATTGTATATTATTAAACCGATTGGTATTTTTATAGGAAGTAAGAAACTGTGTATTTAATTACTCATAAATCCATAGGAGCAGTTTATAAATTTATACTAATCAATTTGAACTTGATAAAATGATAGAGAGAGAGAGAGAGAGAGAGAGAGTGTGTGTGTGTGTGTTTAGGAGATCAATAAAATTTAGCCACATCACTTGAGTCATGAAAAAAAAAAACTCATCAAATTCATGGGAGCAATTTATATTTAAAGTCTATATAAAATGGCATTCACAACCCACATTTCCTTTATAATTCAATGTAATCCTGAATTAAAACAGGACATTAAATAAGTACAAATTGCAGGGTGGGACTGATCCGAAATTGACTGACTCATGAAGTCATCTCTATATAACAGATGGTTTAATAGAAAGGGATGAAAAATAATGCAACCAACGGCAACCAAAAAGAAAAGTCGCATTAGAGGCAGAGAAAGTTCATCCATTTTGCTGACAGATTTAGAAGACAAACATTTTTTCTTTTGAATGATGTGCACAGAATAATACCTAAAGAAAAGAATTGTGTATTATGACTTAAGGCCATTTTGATTTAATACTAAATATCAAGGCCTGTGTAACGTGGATGAAAGATGAAGCATTTTTACTGTAACAATTACATTTCACTGTAATATTTTATCTGTAGACGAGTAGAAAGTAGGGCTGCACGATTAATCGAATGCGATTGTCATGCGCATTTTGTTAGTAAATCCGGTTCTGTGATTAGTAGTCTTATTCTTCTCCTCTTTAACTTTCTCCTCAAAGAATTCTTTAAAGGTTTTCTTGTAAACCAGACGCATGTTGTACTTTTTCGCCATTCTGGGGAAAAAAAAATAAAAAAAAGAAGTTATTAAAAAAATAAATAAATGAATAATAATACAATTAGAAATAATGTAAAATACATTATCATCATTTATGATAGCGCTTTCTTGCCAAACTGGAGAGTTCGTTTGTTTGAATCTATAATCTTACATATAATTCCATTTAAAACAAATTGCATGTGTTATGCATCTGGAGTGGTTCCGATGAAGAATCCTCCGGGCCGCAGTCTCTCACAGGCGTTTCTCAGCATGGTGTCAGCCTGCTGCTCACTCTCAAAGGAATAATGACACACAAACTGAGAGCTGCACACGTCAAACCGCAGCTCAGGGTCTCGCAGCTTCTCAGACAGCAGCTCCTGAGACAGACAGAGAGAGACGGAGAGAATGCGACCCTGTACTGCGCACTGACTTTTGTCTTTCCTCCTTTTGACAATGAACAAATGAAACAGCGGGTGAAGTGTGTGATTTGTGCAGTGCTCATACCCTGCTGCAGTCTGCGGTGATGAACTCGGCTGAGAACGTGCGGTCGTTTGGGTGACCCCTCCGTCTCATGTCATTATAGCGCTGCTGGCACTGCTCGATGGACACAGCAGCGATATCTGCGACGCACAAACACAAATGATTCACAATATGAAGACGTTTAGAGAAGTGCAGAGATAGAGCACTGGCATGCATGTAGCCCCTCTTTACACCTGCTATTATTAACATCATTGTTTGGTAGCGTTGAATAATTGTGTCAACGCTCATTTGTCTCGAGTAGTGCTGGTTTTTTGTTTTTTTTAAGTTACCGTTTTGAATTTTGACAGTATACCAGTTCCTTAAGATACTGTAAAACAAGAAAAGAGTATTTTTAATTTAAGTATTACAGCTTTTTCCTTTGTATCTTTGCATTTCAAACTATGTCGCACTATATCCAGTTGGCCGCTATGAAGTATTCATTGTGTACTGAATGAAAAATTTGAAAATATAATTCCCAGTGAGCACAAACTTACCAGAATACTGAGTGCACTGTTTGTTACAGTGTCTACTTCCTTTATGTTCCCCCCCCAAGTCAAAAATTTTCAAAAATCAAGTCTGAAGAGGACTGTGTAGTTACCTGCACACACCAGTTTATCAATACGTCCTTTCTTCCATTTGAGAAGGTCTCCGCCTTTCCCACAGCCCAGGTCCAGCACGGTCACCTCTCTCCGTCTTTCCTTCACCTTGTCCATGATCTCCGCTGAAGACCAACACACAGACCTCAGAACAACAACTCTGTGAGATCATTACCATCTAACCCAAGCACAAACAAGCATGGGCCTCCTGAAACATGATCGCTTGAGAGGTAAACGCAAGCTTGCGCTGCTTCTCACCTATGAGGACACTCTTCAACCAGTTGTTGAAGTTGCGCATGTGGACTATCCTGCTTTTATTGCGCTCTGCCAGGCCACGCTCCTGGAGTTTGTTGTAATGTGTGGCCACTTTCTGACTGTGTAACGATTCCTCTGTGACCTGCAAAACAAAAAAAAACATGTTTTAAAACAAAACTAAACTCAAACTGAGCAGAGGAGACCAGGGCTAGACAACGACGCACTGGAACGTTAAAAATGCTCGTTTTCTTTCGAATATAAATTTACCCAACTATGACGACTTCTGCTTCTGAGAACCACAGGAATATGAAAAGAGCTATTGAGCATTTTATATTTTTCATGCATTTCATGAATACATATATGTTGAAGAATGTGTTTGTTTCTTCATCATTGTATGACTTGTTCACCAGTGGATGCTCTGCAGTGAATGGGTGCCGTCAGAACGAGTGTCCAAACAGCTGATAAAAACATCACAATAATCCACACCACTCCAGTCCATCAGTTAACGTCTTGTGAAGAGAAAAGCTGCGTGTTTGTCAGAAACAAATCCATCATGAAGACATTTTAACTTCAAATTGTCGCTTCTGGTCAGTATGAGTCCATAATCTGTAATAACACTTCCTCCAGTGGAAAAGTCCATCTCCTGTTGTTCCGCTCACATCAAAATTACTTGTTTTTTTACTTGTTGTAAACGGCACTTGATGTGTGCAGATTTCTCTCCTGATTCAGACGAGATTACTTTTTCACTGGAGGAAGCAATAGTATGGATAGAGGACTCCTGTTTTAGCTAGAAACAACCATTTTACGTTAAAAACGCCTTGATGGATTTGTTTATGTGAAATTTTTTTCTTCACAAGCTGTTAACTGATGGACTGGAGTGCTGTGGATTACTTGTGGATTATTGTGATGTTTTTATCAGCTGTTTGGACTCTCATTCTGACGGCACCCATTCACTGCAGAGGACCCACTTGTTAGCAAGTGACGTAACGCTACATTTCTCCAAATCTGTTCCCGTGAAGAAACAAACACTTCTACATCTAGGATGGCCTGAGGATGAGCACATTTTTATCAAATGTTCATTTCTGGGTGAACTATTCCTGCGAGCTTACCTGCTTCTTCCTGGGAGAGTGATCTTCATCATCACCATCCCAATGTCTCTTCATTGATGAGGAAGATGAGGATGAAGTTGAGGTCTGGGAAGCAGCGAAAGCTGATCCTATGCTGTCCTGATCTCGATCAGCATATTTACTGTCCGCTTCATACAATCCTTTGAACACACAAGCAGTGCATTAGTATTTAGGTTACAAAATATGCATTCGCCTTTTAAATACAGCAATGGACCACAGAAGGGAAAAACAACACATTTAAGGGAAAACATATTTGAAATGGAAAGCAATTCATATAAATGAAGTTTATGAAGTCAGACTAAAAGTGCAGTGCGTCAGTGTTGCGTGGATAACAAGAGCTGATGTCAAGCGCCATCTCGGCACGTGTTTCATCTGCTCAGAGACTGACTGAGACCGCTTGGACTTCGAAAGAGACAAACATTATACATCATATTAAGAGTGCATGTGCTCAACAGCATGATTATGTAACACAGATCGCCGAAGACTGAATCAAAGTTGCTGCACTCACCTGAGCTTTGCGCCATCATGTATCCACAAGCAGCGCTCTTCACGGATCTTTACTGCAGTATTTGTTATGAGACGCGCCGCAGCGCCGCCTACAGGACCGGCGTCTACAGCAGCACAGTACACTAGATGCCACTTCTTGCTGCTTTTTGCCAATCATTTTTTTAATTAGTATATGGAACTAAATGCAATATGGAACGATAAGCATTTTAAACATTTCACATCACTTTACTATGTAGCACGTGTAATTCAGCGCCTCCAGTTGGATCTCCAACATGTGAAACTTTTTTAAGTACCATTTTATGGAAGTATGCTATTCTATGCATAGCCTAAGTGTAATAACATCACGAACAGCTTGTTAACTAACGTAAATAAATAAAGAGAGAGAGATAACATGTAAAATGTTATATATATAACGTTTTACGTAGTATTTTCAATGTATGCCGTTCATAAGCACGTGTAAAGACCTGTTTTTTTACAGTCTATGGTAAAGACCAATCTTTCAACAGCTTGTTAACTAACGTAAATAAATAAAGAGAGAGAGATAACATGTAAAATGTTATATATATAACGTTTTACGTAGTATTTTCAATGTATGCCGTTCATAAGCACGTGTAAAGACCTGTTTTTTTTACAGTCTATGGTAAAGACCAATCTTTCTTCTTTTTGTGGTGACCCTAATGAAACCTCAAAATCCTTTATATATTGTTTATAAAAAAGAGGTTCAACAGTATATCCAAACTATTTCATCTTCCAAGAATCTCAAGGCTTTTAAAACGGTTAATTTATTTAATCTTTTTAATTTATTTTGTTAAATCTTTCGTTTTGTATTATTTATTTATTGTTACATACATCTTTAAATGGTGCTTTGCATGTAATGTCACCTCTTTGTATGTAATGTTGATACTCTCTGTATTTTTATATTTGGTACCTTGGCATTAATAATAATAAAAAAGAAAAAAAAAGAAAAAAAAAAGACCAATCTTTCGCTACTCCGCGATGCATTCTGGGAAATGTAGTTCCACAGAGACTTTGCCTCAGTTCTCATCAGCACGACTGTACCACATTACCCACAACTCAGTGCGCGCGCGGTCACCAAGCGTAAAGTCGCTGCGTCTGGTCGAGGGCTCTCTGAGTGACAGAAGGGACGTGAATAAAATGTGTTTGCGGTGTGGAAATTACATCATGCCGGACTTAGTCACTCATGTATGTAGCTGTGCATATTTCCGATGTTCGTTTGTGTATGATTAGACAAAGGACGAGTGAAATGTTGATTAGTTTAGCTAGCAGGTCAGTCTGTAGACATCCTTTAGCAAAGCTAGCTGACTCACGTTTGGTGAATATCGTAACACTTCGCACAAGTTGATACTAAACATTTGAGTTTTAAATACGATTGTTTTAGGAGGCTCGTCTGCGATATTTTTCCTCTAGAAAGTTTCCTTCTAAATGTGATTGAGCATGTCCAGCTAATGTATTTCTTTAATGTTTTCTTGAGGTGTTGAACCAGCACCAGTGACGTCATTATTGATGGGGATATTGAAGGTAGGAAAAATAATTCACGTCAGCGGATATGATGTGTATTATAGAATCTTCAGGGTTTGTTTTCAACCGAAGAGTAAGTGAAGTTACCAGCTGAAAATAAAAGCAGGCGTAAACGCATTGTAATGTACTTCAGGAGATATGGACAAATCGTTAGTACTCTTGAAAAGTAAAGTGAAGTAAATATGAATAAACATTATGAATGTAAATATATGTGCTTCAGATATCAGTGTAATACCAAAAGTAAATTGCGGCACATACTGATGTGGTTACCACTATTTTGATTTTGATTATTATTATTATTATTTTATTATTTTAAATAATAACAACAAAATTCTCTATCTTAATTTAAAATAATTCAATGAGCATTTTGAGCTTGTATTTATATATTTATTTTTTATTCTTTTTTAGGTAACCCAGAAATAGTGCAGAATTGTTTCCATTGATAATGTTGTTTCCTGCTTTAAAAAAATAAATAAATAAAATACTTTTATCAAAATAAATAAATACATTTATTATGTTTGTTCTTTTTAAATTCTCTTTTAAATTTCTTAAAACATTTCTGGGTTTAAATAAAATAGTAATAATAACAATAATTTAAGTAGTCTAGTGCTGTCAAATGATGAATCGCGATTAATCGCATCCAAAATAAAGGTTTACATAATATATGTGTGTTCTTTGTATATTTATTATGTATATATAAATACACATACGGTATATATTGTGAAAATATTTACATGTCTATAATTATATTCATATAATTTATATTATAAATAAATATATTTAATATATAAAAATAACATATTTTTCTTAAATATATACTCTATGTGTGTGTATTTATATACATAATAGATATACACAGTACACACACATATATTATGTAAACAAAAACTTTTATTTTAGATGCGATGAATCGTTTGACTGCACTAAAGACCCCACTGTGTATTGAGCATCTCATACTACTGACCATCTGTTTATATCTTATTTCGTGCCATTTGTGAATTTGTCTTCTTTACTCTGCATTTTTGTGAGCTGTATTTGGCCGCTCTCTTGCGCTCAGAGTCAGGCCCCTGTCAGACTGTGCTCTTGTTTCTCTGTTGGCAGACGGCTGGGAGCAGAAGCTTGTTTGGGATGCAGCGGTTAGTGTGTGCTAGAGTCCTGCTGCAGATCAGTGGTGCGTCCTGCAGCCGTCCCGCACAGATGCTGGCTCCCGCGGCCCGCGGCTGCTGGACACGCCTGAGCCCCGGCCCGCGTTGGCTCTGCTCTCCGGCCTCTCAGAGGAACAGCAGCAGAGATCGTCCAGGGCAGGAGGATCCGGACCCTCTGCAGGACAAATCCAGCAGCCTCATTCAGAGATTCAAGAAAACCTTCAAGCAGTACGGCAAAGTCATGATCCCTGTGCACCTGCTGACCTCTACAGTGTGGTTTGGCACTTTTTACTACGCTGCAATGAAGTGAGTAGATGATGGATCACAGTTATGTTAGTGTAGGTCCGAGGCTATGATGGATGGTCAGATACTCAATAACTTGTTAATCAAAGATCACTGAAGAAATCACACACACACACACACACAAAAAAAAAAAATAGTGATAACTAGCTATGGGTTATTAAAGCAATAAGCCCCAAGAAGCCGTGGTTTACAGTGAATTTATAACAGCTAAGGGGCGTTTTTAGGCACGACGCGAAGCAGAGTTCACTGTAAACCACGGCTTCACAGGGCTTATTGCTTTTATAAAACGGTTATTCCATATACGTAGTAAGGTTTCACAGAATAAAACAGAGCAAATAAAGTGTAATGATATTAATAAAAACATTATTCTTCCACCAAACAATGTAGTTCCTCAGAAACAGTTGTGGTTGCAACAAAGTGGTTGCCGAGCAACACACAGAAGTAAACAAAGGTGTATGTTTGTAGAGTAGTTTACAACAGCTTCGAACGCGGCTCGACCAATCAGAATCAAGGACCGGAACTATCCGTTTTATAATTAATAACATCTAATAGGGCTGCACAGTTTGGGGGAAAATCTAGTTGCAATTTTTCTGATAAAAAATTGTGATTGCAGTTTGGAAAAAAATCCACGTTTGCTGTACTTATTTTTAGGGCCGCACAATTTGGCCATGATTTTGTGATTGTATATTATTGACAAACTCAGGGCTTAAAGTTCTCCGGCACCGTGCCGGATCTCCGGCGTGCAGCATTTGGCTGCAGAAAAAATAAATCCTACATTTAAAAAAAACTTGTTGATATCACTTTCGAGTCCATGAGTTCGCCCACCAAGGGTATGAGAGGAGCACAGCTTTCACTCTCAACCAAACTAACATTACTAGCCAATCAGAAGTTTTTGCTTTTATAAACACGAGACGCACATAATAGTATCCAATTGCAGAGTCGCAGCCCTGATGAATGAAGAAGTGCGACACGTTAAAAAAGCTGCGAGGCGCAATGGTCCTTTGACGCATATTTACATAGAAAAACTAATTAAACAGCAGCAGAGCTTTGTAAACAGCTCAGAGTAATCATGTCATCTCCATAAGAACGATATGAAGGAATATTGGACTGCGGTCCCTTTAAGAGTTTATCCACGAACCCAAGGCCAATTCACACCCCACCGACAAACGCCAACAGACACGTTGACCGCTGGATTTAGAATTTTATGAAAAATCACTGTCATGTTCACACTGCCCCAACAGACTTCAAGTCAGGGAGAGTTAACTAGGGGGAAAAATGGATGATCTTGTAACAACAATCAAAATGATACTGTTATTAATGTCTTTGGTAATATTGTAAGGCAGTTTTATTATAATAATAATATATTGTCAAATAAATTTCCGTTGTGAAATTTCCAAAGCGCTGTAGCGATCGATCTGATCGCATTCCCCCTCGCATTGCGGTTGGTATACTCGGCCACATCCACCGCATAAAGCTCTGGCCTCTCCTCCCAAAGATCCAAAAACTGTTCCTCTTTCTGGTTTGTCCAGAAACCTGCCATTTTTAAAGTTATTTTCCTAAGCGCGCCCAGCACCTACTTGCAGTCTTGCCTCATTGTCATGGCAACGGTTCGTGGCCAGGTCAGATTACGTCAGAGTTTGTTGTCGTTTGTTGGAAAATCATATCACACTGCTCAGACATTCCACGACCCAACAAACGCCGATTAAACATGTTAAAACCAACTCCGACCAACGCCAACAAACTCCAACAGACTAGTCTGTCGGCGTTTGTCGGTGCGGCGTGAATTGGCCTTAAGAGAACAGAGTTTTGTTGTAGGTCACGTACAGCATTAGTAAACATTATATTTCCTCCTGCACATCTTTATATCCGCCGTGTTTGACCATAATCCAGTCGCTTATTTCCATGAAACACTCGGTATTTATTACGTGTAATTTATATATAAAGTGACTTCATAAGGACGAGCGGTGCGCTCAACCCGACATGAGCCAATCACAGCCGTTCTAGTGTCAGAATGGACCAATCACAACCGGGATGGTGCTTATCATTGGATCGTTTACAGGTGGTTCACAGGTAAACCGAGACCAGTAGAACCAGTTGCTCATCTGATAAGATCGCTGTAAACAAAAGCTTACAACTTCTGTCTTAATTATCGGTAAGTCCAGCATTTTCTTAGGATCCCCCCCCCCCGCTCTTGGAAAAACAGTTCAGGCTCAGGATTTTTTATTTTTGCTTTAACCCCTGCAAACTACACAGTAATTATAAGTTGTAATAGAATTTTAATATTACTATTATTGCTAAATAAAAATATACAAATTACCAAATTTAAACAATATAAGGAGAATTGCTTTTCCAATATTTTGCTGTAAAATAATAAAAACTTTTAAGAAAAATATTATTATATAAAAATATATTTAGATTAATCATGTAGAATAAATGGTGTCTTATGGAAATTAAAGTTAAATAAATTTTTATAATGTATAATATTTTGGCTTTTTTAATGTAAAAATAAAAGGTATAATAAAATTGATGTGATAAGACAGAAAAATTGCCGAATTTTACTAAACACTTATTATGCACATCTCAATATTTAATATCTCAAAATGCCCAAAAATCAGCTTTAATATCAGCCTAAACAATTTATCAGACTTTTTTTTTAATCATTTTTCAGACTAGTTTATTAAAGTCAAAGAAATATAAAATAAAAATTTCCAATGCCCTGTAAGAAGCACAACATAAATTTCTAAGTTCTGACAAAACAAACCAAAGAATAAAGAGTATGTGTGAGATTTTTGTAGGAGAGGTAGAGTTGGTCTGTTAAACAGGTGTGTGTGTGTATGTGTGTGTTTGAGTGTGTGTGTATAATCGACGTGTGACAACACCGGTAATACCGGTATCACCGCGGGCGCAGGGGCGTTCCCTCTTTCCTCGCTTTCCTTCGCTTTTAAAAGCTGTGGTGTGTGTGTGTGTGTGTGTGTGTGAGAGAGTGTATGTGTGTGTGTTTGAGTGTGTGTGTTTGAGTGTTTGTGTGTGTGTGTGTTTGAGTGTTTGTGTGTGTGTTTGAGTGTGTGTGTGTGTGTGTGTGTGTGGGGTCAGGTAGGTAGGTAGGTAGGTAATTTTCTTTCTGCTCGCTCATTGAATGTGTTTGGCGTGTGGTGGATTGAGGTAAATGGCACACTGAAATGTTTACTCTGCCTCACATCTGGCTGAATGTGGGTCACCACTGTCTAGACGTTTGAGAAATGTGGGAGGTGGTAATGGATGCTTGAGAACGGGCTGTTTCATTCAGCATGACCTCACTCTGCAGAGAAGACAAGACCAGGGTTATCAGTTTGCCTTCATCACAGCCTTTAGCTCATATTAAAGATGTCCATTCTGTCTAAATTGAACATTTGATTCTTATGTTAAGTATTACATTTTAAAGTAGATATTTCAATGTCGTTTTAAAATAAAAAAGTGGATTTTTACGTTTTTATTTCACTTAAAAAATGCTTTAAATACTTGGCCCTGTTAAAACCTCAGTGTCAGGGTTATTATCATTAACTAAAAAACATTTTTGTTAATTGAAAGAAAGATAAAATAAAATATAGATATTAAGTGAAAAATTTACTTCAGTTAGTTGTCAAAAGCAACATTTCTCATTCAAGTTGAAGCACTAAAATTATTCATCTAAAATTAAATAAAAATAAATTAAACCTAAATAGTAATTTAAAAAATGTAAAAAAAATATAAAAATGCACTTAAAATAAAAAATAAAAGCTGTTAAAAAATATATCTAAAAATTAATAAAAACTATAACGGTATATAAATACAGTAATGCTAAAAATACACTGCTCAGTATAACAAATATTACTAAAAGACTAAATAAAATTCAGGATTTTATAACGACCATCCCTAATCACTTTTCATAAAGTTCCACTCATTACATTGATGTGCTATTTTATATTAACAAATTGTCTTAAGAATCTTTTTATTCTTAAAAGGATAGTTCACCCAAATAAGAAAATTCAGTCATCATTTTACTCACCCTCAAGACTTTTCAAACTTTCTGTGGAACATAAAATATATATTGTTTTTTGTCTATGCAATAGAAGTCAATGTTTGTTACCAACATTCGTTTCTCTGTGGAACACAAAAGAAGATATTGTGAAGAAAGTCATTTAGGTTTGGACTGACATGAGAGTGAAAAAATGATGACTGAATGTTCATATTTGGACAACTATCTCTTATGAAAATTTAGGCTTTTATGTGAAATGTCTTTTTATGCTCCCTCTCTTGTTTTGGTTTGTAGAGGAGTCAATCTGGTGCCATTTCTTGAGTATGTTGGGTTTCCTGACAAGGTGGTGAAACTCCTGGAGAATTCTCAGAGCGGCTACGCACTGACCGCTTACGCCATGTACAAGGTGGGCTAACGGCGTTGTTTTTTGTGAATTAAAGGTGCAATATGTACGATTTTTTTATTAAAATATCCAAAAATCACTAAAACAGCGTTATATATTTTGCTGACTTTGTGTACTTACATTATCCCAAATGTTTTTCAAACGTATCTAGTATGATAAAACAGCGCTGCTTTACCCCACACACGACCGGAAGGAGCGGAAGCGGTCGACTGTGGCATAATAAAAGCTCCGCTGCTTTCGAGCCGTGTGTCACTCATAGATATATATATACATATCTATGGTGTCACTCTCGTCTCTCATTAGCAATTGCTTCAGCGGCCTCGTTTCGCTTCGACGGCTTTCCGCCTCACTCTGCTTCATACTACTATAAATCTTTAAAGGGGTCATATGATGCGATTTAAATTTTTCCTTTCTCTTTGGAGTGTTACAAGCTCTTGGTGCATAAAGAAGATCTGTAAAGTTGCAAAGACTAAAGTCTCAAATCCAAAGAGATATTCTTTATAAAAGTTAAGAGTCAGCCACGCCTACCTAAAACGGCTCGTTCTAACACGCCCCCACATATCTACGTCACGATGTGGGAAGATTTGCATAACACCCCCAAATGCTCATGCAAAGAAAGAAGGCGTAACTTTTATTCATGAAGGCGCTGTGTTTCGTTGTGAAAGCGAAACTACTTTGTTTGGTCTTCCAAAAGAGGACGATATCCGCTTCGTCATCCCTAGAGCTGATCCGTGCTGGTCGCGGAGGAAATACATCAACTTCGCGCTGTCGATCGCCGGATCGGCTTTCACCGTAGACGAAGCGGAGTCCAGCCCCGGAGTCGTCACATGTGGTTGCCACAAGCCCACCGGATGCTCCTTCGTCGAATTTAATTTCTCCGATCACAAATGCAGACATGGTTTTATGTTTACAAAGCGCGATACGCAACGCAACGCGTAAAAAGACAGTATAAGGGGCCGTTCACATATCGCGCCTAAAAACGCGTGGAAAACGCTAGGCGCGCCGCTTTCTGCTTTTTTCCAAAGCGTTCGGGCGCTTGCGCTCCGGAGGCGTCT